AAGCAGTGGGAAGAGTCCCTTCAACTGGGGGGGGGGGAAGAGGAGGCTTTGAACAAAGTTGAGCTTCACCGCTAATTTCATGAGGTACAAGGAGGGATGGTAGAAATGCCCCTGCTTACCAAAATCTGCTCTAGTGTTTATGGTTTTTCCAGACCAGAGAGTGCAATGATGCTGTAAAGGGAGGTTGAATATTGCCTTCTATCTCACTTTTTGCCTATTGGAACATTTTGACTCAGTCTCCACTTGGGGATGCTCTTGCTGGTGGAATAAAATTCTGCATTCAATCCAACCCATTTAGATTGGACTGGCAATGTTTTGATGTTGAGGGGCACACTTAACACTTTTCTGTGGGTTGGAGGTGGGGATTAAGGGTCGCAATGGTGCAATGTTATATCAGACATATTGGTAGTCTGGTATCTCTTATTGCTTTTGGAGTGTCTCCATTTTTAAAACCACATTATGCCTATGTTAGGGCACACATCCTTTTATGCTTCAAATTTTGCAACTGCAGAAAAGATGTGTCAATATACAGCAGGCACAATCAGACAGGGCACCAGAGCCACAAAAACAGCAAGTTGCCCATATACGTGATTTAGGGCAAAATGCCTGAATTTTCTGGGTCTATTTCAGGCTCACTTTTCACAGGATCCAGGCAGGACAGATGAAGGGTCAACCAAAGGCTGGGAGATGCATGCTTTGTGAGGACTTAGGCTTGTAAGAAGGGATCCTTCTTTTGGTGGCCAGGCTGATCTTGACATTAGTATATAGATTGACCATGCCTCTTGTTTCTTAAGTGCCTATCAGAGATATGTGTTTATAACTGTGTTTATCATTCTGCCTTTTTAATCAACTTGATTATCTTACTTGCTTTACGGTTTTTACCTTGTTTGCATGGATTCTGATTTGCTACAAGGTCTTCTAGGAAATGGGCAGGTCATAAATATTTCAAATAAACAGAACAATAGCTATATAAATGCACACATTTGGAAGTCAATTTTTATATCATGGAGATGTATGTATGTATATAAGAACTTATTTCTGGTTTTCTATGGGCTGAATTACTGAATTACTGTACAATCTGGCATATATGTGCCATGTGCAGGTAAGGTTTCTGATTGTATTTTGATGGGTGGCTTCCAGGACAATCTGCATAGCAGTCTGCATGATCAATGTTAGGGTGGTTTGACTCCAGAATCAACTATAGAAAATCTCTTCTTTGTGTTCATTGTGTGTATCTGTTGTTGCACTTTACACTATTACAACTGAACAGCTCAAGTCCCACTTGAATCTAGCTTTTCAAAGCAGTCACCAGACTAAAGTTTCCAAGGAGCTGAAGCAAGAGTGCAATTAAATCCATAACACTGTTTGTTCCTAGATCCAGTACTGGTTGGAAATTTTGAGAGCTGAAATCCATTGGTGAAGGCTAAAAAAAGCACAGTGACACCCAGTAGCAATGAATGAATATGTTGTTAATGACATTGCTCAGTCTTCATCCTACTACTTGTCAGCCTTATCTACAGTTCTAACCTTTAAGGAAACATAATTTCTATCTGCTCTTTCTATGTATTTCCCAGACACAACTAACATTTTGGGAAAGACTGGTTGAATCATTTGTGCAGGGATCATTTTGATCCTTCTTTGTATGTCTCATCACAATATCATATATTTTTATGGAACTGAACAACCGTCATCTTTTGCTAAGAAAGTACTATACATCTTAGGCCACCATTTAATAAACCATAGATTTTGCTTCTCCTATACCACTTCAAATGTACCAAAAGCAATTCCATTTTTTCCTAGATGGGAAAAATCTGTCTGATCCCTAGTGAATTAATTCCTCAGAAGTGCCTACCCAGTAACATGGGATCTACTGTAGTACAATAACTAGGAGACCAGGCACTGAAGCTGAAAATCTATGGTTCAAATTGTATTTCTGTTATCTCACTAGCTTGCAAACCCTCTCTTAAACCTTAATCTATTTGTAGACAATCTGGGGCCCTCCAGATATTTTGGAAATCAACTTTCATCCCTCTAACCTAATGATGACCAATAGCAAGAAATTGGGAGCTACATCCAAAACGTAAAGAATGTACCAGGTTGCCTATAACGATCACTGAAATAATAAGCATGAAGTGCTTTGAAAACTGAAGTGATATAAATGCTAAGCATTAATATTGTAACAGGTGCCAAATGGAGCAATTTCAGATATGTTCCATGTGACCACTGGAATGCATAGATGGGCCTAAAGGCTTTGATTGCCTACGGAAAAAATAAATGCAGCAGACATTACACAACCCTAACACAAGAGGTTGGGCTGGAAACCAATTCATCATTCCCATTTACCCAAGGCTGTTAGTATTCCATGCAGATTTGGTGGAAAAAATAATTGAGAATTTCAAGCTTTGTGTGGCTTCTGAATTTTCACACAGTCTTTCTCGTTCTCATGATTACACATAATGGGATGTGGACCTCACCCAAGGTCTACGCAAGGGAAAAGCTTCCAAAGGCAGAAATGCTGTGTCTTGTAGGGCATCCCTCCCTCTGTCTCTAGGCATATTTTTTTATCCATGGCTCCCTAATGTTCACATAGCCAAAATTATTCTTGATTACATCCTGGATCCAGAACAAAGAAAATGTATTACAAAATATTTGAAGATATCTAGGTAAGACGGGTTGCCTCCATCTGCCATCAAAATGGCCATTGGTAACCGAAGGCCTTTCCCTCTCTCTGGCCAGGGATCTGGGGGACATGCATGGGTGGGGAGAGGGAAAGCTATGCAGTAACAATTTCAAAAATGCTTCTGAGTGCATTTTAACCAAATAGGAATCTGCCCTAGTTGAAGCAGCACATCCAGCCAGCTATGTAGAAATGTGATTGTCTTTCATAGTTTGAAAAAGCTGTGTAGAATTTCTTCTTTGATCAGACGAGTAAAAGTAAAACAAAAGGGACAAGCCCCCATATTTAAGATTTTGTAAGTTTTCTTGTTGATCATTTTTGTCTACTGCAAAAATAACGTTAACAGCCACTACCATATCAGAGAGAGCGTTGACTGGAGACCGTCACAGGTGTGTCAGACGCTGCTGCCTACTTCTTTCAAGCTTGCACACGCAGAAGACTCAGCAGACCTACCATCTCATGCAGGAGCTCTTCCGAATATTAACTATGCACCGCTGTTTTGATGGAGACAAGGACATCTCCTCGTCTTAAAGAGGGAGGGTTTTTTTTAAAAATGTATTTTTAAATCCCTCATGCCACTAGAGCGACGCGGCAAATCAAATGATCTCTGCAGATCAAGCAAGAGTCGCAAGCCGCCTGCAGTTACGCGCCGGCCCCGTTTGCAAACCCTTCAAAGGCAGCCGTTGAACGCGCTGCTTTGCAGCTCCTCCACGGCTCCAGGCGTGCTGCGTTAGCTAGCCAGCGCTTTCTCTTTTCCTTTGCAAAACTGTCAGGCAAAAATGGCCAGAAAGATATTGGCTGCAAGGAACTCGGAGGCTCCTCCCCGAGTCTGGATCCCGAGATTTTTGGACGATTTCTTTTAACTCAGTTGCAAACCCTGGCGAAGGAAACAAGTTCCCGCACTGGCAAGTCGCGGAGCAATCGCCGCTTCGAGGAACACCCAGCTCTCTGCTCCTCTCGCCTTTCCTAAAATCTACCTTGGAGGGCAATGGTTATCGGGGGCAACTGGCGTGGGCGATCGGGAAGGGAAAATGCTGACCCTCTGGATTTCTGCGCAAAGAAAGCTCAACGAGGTAGAAGACAATGAGGACAAAAAGGAGATCTGAAGCAAAGACATTCTCGCGGACCCTCGCTCTGGTCGTCTGAGGCTTGCTCGGGCTTTGGGGGCTCAAGGATTTTGGGGGGAGAAGGGGGACGGGAGAAAAGCACCCACGCACAATTGATTTCAGCCGGCGTGAACCTTATCGGATTTGGAGATTCCCTATTGGATATACATTTTCAAGGCATTCCCCCGCGTGCACAAAGATCATCATGAATTCGGTGGCTGGGAATAAAGAGCGAATTGCGGTCACCACCCGAAACAGGAAATATGGGGTAAGTTAGTCCTCAAGTCAGGGCACACGAGGATGCTTGAGACCTGTCTGCGTTTTTACACAAAAGGGTTGCCTTGTAGCCTTGCAAGCGGATCTAACCCGCCTATGAAGCGGCATGTTTCCAATCAAGGTGCAGTTGGTATACGAGTCAGCCAGGTCTCCTCCGTCATCAGAAAATTGCGTGAAATAAATCTGGGCAGGTTCGTCTCCCTTGAGCTGCAGACTCCCGGTGCCTGTAGAGGACGACTTAACTTTTGCAGCCCCAGGTTCCATGGCATTGCTCGAGAGCCTCTGTTTGGTAGCGATTTTTGCACAATACATCCTCCAGGGTCTCTGCACGCAGTCCTGACTTGTGCGAAGGGCAAGTGATGGGGGGGGGGAGAGGAGAGTTGTCCCTCATCTGGGCTCCTTGGGAAGGCGTACGCATAGGAGACCTCCCCTTCCCCATTTTGTTTGGAAAATCGCTCTCCGGTGGGGGCCCAAATCAGAGAAGGGAGAGGTGGGGCGTTTTCGCCTGCGTGGGGCTATTGTGATCGCTCATCTCCGTCCCGGGTTTGGCTAATCGATGGATGAACTTGGCTGTCCACTTTCCCCCACTGATCTGCTCCCCTCTCCTCCTCCGCTCAGGTGAACGACTCCTGCTCCCCTACCAAATCCGCGGCGCCCTTCTCGCCGGAAAGCTGGTACAGGAAAGCTTACGAGGAGTCCCGGTCCGGCGGCCGCCCCGCCCCAGAAGGAGCAGGCTCTGTGGTGGGCTCCTCCGGCACCCCTTCGCCCCGGTTGGGGACCCTCTTATCCTGCCCCCTATCACGCTCTGCCCCGCCCCCGTGCCCGCGGGGATGCGCGCC